CTCTAAACACATTCTTAAAACTTTAAATTCATGGTATTTGAAACCCTAAACTCTAAATTCATTCTTAACTTCCAAATTTTTTAAACAACCTAAACTCAATCTTAAATGTAAACACAAACATTATTCATACATTTTCAAATCTTATACCTAACCCTCGAACATTTATTTCTATCTTTATCTATAATCTAAAATCTAAAAAACACTCACATACCTTTATAGTTTAGGGGTTATAGTAGAGAGGTTATGTTTAGGGGTTATAATTTTAGGGTATTAGATTTATGGTGTAGATTTAAGATTTAGCATTTAAGGTCTAGAATTTAAATGTGTGCTTATATTTTTTAAATGATTTAATTTTGAGTTTAAATTTAATATTGAAGTTATATTATGAAATATTGAAGTTTTGAAGTTTATGTTTAAGGATTAGAGTTTAAACCCTAAACTTTAAATACAACTCTTAAAATTTAAATATTTTCTTATTTTAATCATTATTTTAATTTTAAATTCAAAATTAATATTTTATATTCTAACTTTAAAATTAAATCTACACCCCAAACCCTAAAACATAAACGATACCTATACCATACCCTAAATTAATCATATATCTTAAAATCTAATTAAAAATCTTTAAACTCTATTTTTATGATTTAATTTCAAATTTTAAATCTAATCTGAAAGTTTAATATTAAATCTAATTAAACTCAAAACACTGAACTCCAAACCCTATAATTATATATATATATATATATATATATATATATATATATATATATATCTTTAATTTATTTAAATAGGTACTTTATATATAAACTAGAATTTGATTATTAAATATAACATTTTCTATAAAATTTTAAATTTATTGAGCAGTCATAAAAAATGTTATTTACAAATCAAAATTTTAAACATAACCTTTATGAATATCATTCTTTTGTTATCCTCCTCCATTTTCATAGTTAAAAATATATTGCATAAATTATAAATTGTTGTCATCTGATTCACATAAGCCATCAATTAGTCATGTGCATCCAAAATATATATAAACCAAACAATAGCCATGTGCATCAGCATGAACAAAGCTAGACTTCGAACCAGCAGCTATCTCATCGACATCACATGTTACAAGAGCGAGATCAGAGTAATGTGCATCAGCATGAACATCCCTTTGCTTCCAACTGATTTTACTGAGACTCTTATCCACCAACTTAGACTTTGTGTCTTGATCATTCCTCTGTTTCAATCATCTCAGTGTGAAAAAATAAGAAACAGAACATGTACCTAGCGCAATAACTTGTAAATCTTACATTTTTTTAGTTGAAGAACAATGGTTTCTCCTTCCTTTAAGTTGTAATCGATAGATGAAGTGTTTTGAAAGTGTTTTTCCATTTCGTCTGCTGTTTTCTTCTTGTTCAAGTACCTTTAGCAAAGAGAAAGACAAGAGATAAGATTCAGAGATGTCAAAGAACACTAGGAGTTTTGGAAGTGGAACGTTACTTCATCTGGTCATGTAGTGCTGTTTGGAAGTCATATGCTTTAGTTCTCTCCCGGAGCCCGAGTCTAATAAAAGCATCGAACACGACCACCTGCAATGCTTCAAATAAGTAAACTCAAAAATCAACTACTACAACTATAACAAATCTTTATAGTAACTAAGTACCTATTTTTTCTTCAACTCGGAGAACAAAATATCTACAAGTCAAAAACAGAGTTTTTCTATGTTAGGCTAGCTGCACAATCATTGAGAAGACCAGGTTAAGCTCTATAGTTACCTGCTACTGTCGATAACGGCTTCTACATGATAAGGTTCACCATCACGCAGAAAGGCCTGAGCGTAAAGTTCCCCAGTGGTTTTATCTACAAGTTTAATAATGCATTCTTCTCCTTTCCTCACCACTTTCAATTCTCCTTCCCATGCCCATTTGTTCACGTCCCACTCATCTGCTCTACAAGGATCAATCATATAAAAGGTATCAGTGAATGTCTCTCTCCATATTCAATCGAAGTTGGAGAGAGAGAGACAGAGAGAGAGAGAGACTACGATATGATAGTGGTGATGGGAGAGGAAGGAACAGAGACTTGTGAAGGGTTTAGTGAAAGGAACAGAAGCATGTCTTTTAGGGTTTGGTCTGTAAAGGATTGAGTGAAAGGAACGATTTTTAGAAGGTAGGGAGCGTGTCCTCGTCCGTATGAACCATCCTGATTCATGGTCCTTTGTACATCAAGCTTCATCACACTAGAACCAGCTCGAAACCACACCATCTTCAAGCTTTCAAGCTTTTAACTTTCAGCGCATGATGAAAAAAACGAACAAGGAGAGGGTCGAACAATGGTGTTGTGGTGGTGGTGGGACGGTGAGTGTGAAATTGGAAGGAGGAGGAGTATTCATCAGAAGACAGAGAAGCAACTCGTTCGATTCTTTCATCAAATTTGTCGCTTCGAATTCGTCGACTGATTTCTCGTGATGAAATGTGAAAGAGGAGAGAATTGGATTTTTTTTCTTTAGAAGAAAAGAAATGATATGACTTAGAAAGAAAAATATCTTTACCAAAACGTTTTGGTGCCAAAAAGTGATTTTTCAGTAAGTATTTGGCGCCTAAATGTGTTATAGAGATAAACATTGGATAAAGATAAACATTGGATTTTTGTCTGAAATTTGAGTTATTTTACATTTACTATAGTGTTTACTTTTGGATCTACAATGGTAAGACACCTACACTTAGCAAATTAACGCGGCTAAAAAAACAATTTTCCCGGGATAACAAATATAGCGTTTAAATTGATAAAACGCTATTAAAAAGCAACTGTCAATATACAATAGCATAACTGTAATAAATGCTATAATCCGATGATATTAATAGCCACATTTCTTGTAGTGTTCCTTCCTCTTTAGATAAGCATAACTTGTCCCATGTTGACCAGTGTAAGCCTCTTTTTGGTGGGTTCGAACTCCACCAGAACTGTGCAATGGCACTAGCCAAGGCATCACATATCTCCAATGGAAGTAGAAAGCAAGACATTACGTAGGTTGGGAGGGCTAGCAGGATTGAATTTATCATTACTTCCTTTCCACCTTTTGATAACCACCTGCCCGTCCATCCATTTACCCTATTCCTAATCTTGTCCTTTAGGTAAGAAAAAAGCTTACATTTGGATCCACTGATATCCTCTGGAATCCCTAAGTAAGTTCCCATCCCTCCTTCATTTTGGATCTCAAGTGTATCTTTGATCTCTTGCCTGGTCTCTTGTCCGATTCTCTTACCGAAGAGTAGAGATGATTTATCAAAATTAATGCATTGTCCAGAAGCTTGTCCATATTTCCTGACCACTTTCATTACTTCTTTACATTCACGGGGCTCCGCCTTACAAAAGAAAAGGCTATCATCAGCAAAGAGCAGGTGAGATACCGAAGGACACGCACGCGTGATACGCATCCCGTTATCTTTCCCTGATTATCTGCGTGATTAAGAAGGCTAACGAGCGCTTCCGTGCATAGAATAAAAATGAAAGGGGACAGAGGATCCCCATGTCTTAGACCTCTCTCTGGAATAATATTTCTTCTTGGTTGACCATTCATAAGAACCTTATATTTTACTGAGGTAACACATCGCATTATCCAGGTTATCCAGATTTTCGAGAAGTCCATCTTCCTCATGGTAGCCTCAATGAAGGACCACTTCATGTGATCATACCCTTTACTCATGTATGTTTTAATGGTCATCCTCTTGTTGCGTCCACTTGGTTTGGTCCTTAGAGCATGGAACATTTCCTTACCAATCATAATATTGTCAGAAATTTGTCTCCCAACGACAAAGGCAGACTGGGTTTCCGATATCCGATCGGGTAGAACCTTTTTCAACCTCTGGGATAGGACCTTAGAGATTATCTTGTAACTAACATTTCATAAACTGATGGGCCGAAGCTGGCTCATTTGATCCAGCTTATCTACTTTCAAAATGAGGCATATATTGGTGTCATTTAGACCAGTAGGCAGCGTTCCTTCAAACATGAGTTGATTAACCATAAGAGTTAAATCATCCTTTACAATATCCCAAAATTTCTGGTAGAAAAGTGCAGTCAATCCATCTGGCCCTGGAGCTTTCTCTGAACACATTGCAAAAAGAGCCAATTTGACCTCCCATTCCCGGAGCTGTAAGATTGTCATTGTCTGCAGGTGTAATAGTTGTAGACACCTCAGATAGTGCCTCCTCTATATCCTCAGGGTTTGATGATTGAAAGATATGTCTAAAATAACTTGTAGCAATGGCTACGAGTCCTTCCTCATCCCCAACAATATTCCCATCTGCATCCTGAAATTGTGTAATCATGTTCCTCGCTCTCCTCTGCTTTGTGAGGGTGTGAAAAGATATAGTGTTTAAATCTCCTTTCCTTAACCAAAATACCCTACACTTCTGCTTCCAAAACAACTCTTTCGCCTTAAGAGCATCAGAGAGTTCCTTTAAAGCTGTCGCAATCTCCTCTGTAGTGGCATCATCGTTTGAAGATAGCTGATCGATCTTGTCTTTCAATTCCTCCACACTTTTTTCTGAATTCAGATTATGTTGCCTTTTCCAGTAACATAAGGCTCTCCCCCAACTAGCAATATGCTCCATGATACTTGCGTCTGGTGGGAAATCAGGTGGTTTCATCCCTCAATTATGACTGGCTTGAGTTCTTCATTCTCCAGCCATCTCTTATCAAATTTGAAGTTTTTTGATCTTTTAGGTTTTTTCCTAAGAATATTAGCTAAGATCGGACGATGATCCGATCCCCAGAGCCTCATATACTACACTTTGGAATGAGGGAACCTATCATGCCAGTCCTCATTCTCAACCACTCTGTCAAGGCGACATCTAACCGTAGCATTCCCTGCTCTTTTTCCTACCCATGATAGCATGTTCCCTGTAAGGGAAACTCCAGCATGCCACAATCGCTCAGCAATTGCTTGAAAGGAAAGAATGAACTGTCAGTTCGTTGTTTGCATCCTTCCTTCTCCTCATGGCAGGTTATTTCATTAAAGTCACCTATCATAAACCATGGTCCATTTCTTGTTGTTGAGAAACGCAAAAGACGTTCCCAGACTAAATCTCTGTGTTCTATAACAAGATTCCCATAAACAAATGTCATATAGACTTTTATTCCATCAATGACTGCCTTAATGTCAATCATTCTGTTATTTAAAAATAAAACATTAACTTGAAATTCATCCATAGAAAATAAACCTAAACCTCCGCTGAGTCCAAGTGACTCAACGGTAAACAAACGATCAAATCCTAAGTCGGCCTGAATGTCTTGCAACAGCAGCCTCCTATTCTTCATCTCAGAAAGAAACACAAGTCCTGGGTGATGCTTCTGACACATCTCCGTAAGGCATCGAACTGTGAGGTTTCTTCCAATCCCTCGACAGTTCCAACTGATTGTCTTCCTGGATGATGGAGGATGTGTTTTTGGATCCCATCGAACCATCTTCCTTCCTCGAGCGAGCAAAGTGTTTATGACTATCATGGTGAGACTGTCGTGTCTTATCCTTCTCTCCATGTGACTTGTGCGATGATGATATAAGCGACCGTAAGCGAGGAGAGCCACGACGATGGTACTCTGTCTTGTTATTTTGTATCCCCAAAGGAGGATTCCTTTTGGAATCTGTCCTTGTACTCCTTGGAACTTAGTACTTCCCTTAACCTTTGAGGCGCCAGCTGCCATACTAGACTTCGATTTAGCTTCCAACTCCTTCAGTCCTTCATCAAAGAGATCATCCTCAGCATCGACACCAATCTTTACCTCCATGCCGCTAAGGGCTTCGATGACATGATCATAACCACTCACATTAGCTGAATCTTGTGGTGGGAAAGTCAAGGACTTCTCCACACTCTTGTTATGTAAAGTTACGTTATCCCCCTTAGCATATGATTGCATTTCCGGAGAGACAATGACACTGGCCAATATATTTCCCATCAGCGCTTCCCCCTCTTTTAAGCTGTCCAATTCATGTTGATAAGGATCAACATGTGCTCGCTTATTACTTCCTTGCATTTGTTCATAAGGAACAATTGCACCATCACTCCAGTATCTCCCTTCTCTCTTTCTACCACCAAGTTATCCTCGCAGACCATATTTTGCCTCTTAGCTTGCCAAGTTTGTTTTGAGTTACGTTCATATGGAGCGTAACAATGACCATTATAGCCATGGTGTCGTGTATTATGTCTGCGACTAGTACGATCTGAGAGGTTCGGGATGTGTTTCATGTCGTCTCTGTTACTTGACTGATTGTATGGAGAACTTCCAAAACTCGCCTTATTTCCTTCACGTGCAGCAGAAAGACGAGTTTTATGGTCCAAGCTTGTGTGTCTTCTTGACTGTAACTCAAATTCCTTCCTAACATGGGGTCGGGGTGCATGATCATATCCACGTTTTACATGATGGGAGCCACCTTCTTCACATTGAGCTCGCTGCTGAAGCCCTACTCTTGCAAATACACCAGCTCGCTCAGTTGCAGGCTTGGAGATTGTGTCAACTATTGGAAAATATCCCTTCTCGTGTGTCATCATTCCACAAAGAGTACAATGTTTCAAGAGCTTGTCATACTGAATCTCAATTGTCGCCGCATCTCCTTCAGGACTCTCAACCTTTCTCTTGAACTTAAGGGGTTTTCGGGAATCAACATCAATAAGTAGTTGTCCCTCACAGAGATCTACAGTGTCGACATGACCAATACAGTCTCCAATCTTTCTCAAATTTTGGTCCGTCCACAAGTGTAGAGGCATCCCAATAAATATAACCCAAAATGGAATGATCCATGGATATTCATCGTGTACTACAGGTTCCCATCTCACAAGTACAAACATGCAGAAGTTATAATGGAAAGGACCTTGTTGGAGAACATAATTTAACTCCTCTTCCATGATAAAATTGATTAATAACTTGCCGTTCCCTAGGTCATTTGCTGTGACACGATCCTGGAACCCCCACTGTGATGGCACTGTCTGTAGCAGCTTCTCCACATTTTGTTTCTTTGGGTTAAGAACCTTACCAATAAGGAACATACGGTACTCCTTAATGACGAAAGCATCATCCTGCTCAGTGAGTTTAATTGGTTCATCATCATCCTCGTACAAGATTCATTTCCCTTTAATGTCTACCATATGTGGGAGTCGATTTCACTCTTAGGTCAAATAAATCGTAAGTAAGGAAACTTCGGGAAAACCCTAAGTTTCCAGAGGAACCGGCTATCTGCGAGAACCGCACAACGAAAATAAGATGACGAAAATACTTAGAATTTAAATGAGAATAAACGAAAACAGAGAGCAAAGAGGTTCTTATTCCGAATCTGCGTAGAACTGGTACAAAAAGAATTGCCGAAAGCGTAAGAACTAGAAAACCCTAATTGAGACGCAGCTCGCTAACAGAAAAACGGAAATATTCCTAAATGCTAGTTTTGGTGGTGAGAGCTCTGATTTTCGTGTCTTTACTTCTGCCCTGGACCTCCTCTTTATATACTCCTCGTCTTGGCAATCCGATCTTTCCATTTTGCCCAGATTTGACTTAAATCGGGAATTTTCCCTTCTTCTCGATCCTTCCTTTTCTTCTGCGGAAATCTTCTATTTCTCTTTAAACCTTCCTTTTATGTTCAAACTTAACTTTTATTTTCTTTCTGCGAGTAAACCGTCAAAACGTTATCAAATCTGTGGGTTTGATTCCGTTGAAATCGCGAGGTGGGTTTTATCGCGTTTTAGGTCCTTTCGGGCCGTTTTGCGATAAAAACCGTTTTCCGACTTTTATGGGATCGTTTCCTGACCTGACGTTGTTTTTTAATAAATTTCTCGAGTAAATCGCAAAGTTTTACGATTTACTCGACTTTTTATTAAAAACGCGTTTTTTACGACTTACTCGGCGTTTTTTATTAAAAGCGCGTTTTTTTATGATTTCAACGAGAAATCTCGAATAAATCGTATAGCTTAGGCATTGTTCGGTGTTTCGTTTAACCGTTGCCGTTTTATACGATTTCCTCGAGTTCTTTCCGAGAAAACGAAGTTTTACGGTTTTTATCGTAAAACTCGAACGGTAAGTCGGATCGAGACGAAACGAGAGACATTACGGCCGTGGTTCAGAAAGCGACCGTGTCGTAAGTTCGAATCGGGGATGCGGGAAATCGAGGCTCCGGGAGGTCTCTAGTTCGCCTGCTGGCGAACTAAGCCGAGCTGGCTTAGTTCGCCAACAGGCGAACTAGCCAAGGGTTGTCTAGTTCGCCTGCTGGCGAACTAAGCCGGGTTGGCTTAGTTCGCCAGCAGGCGAACTAGTCGAGGGAGTCTAGTTTGCCTAAGCTGGCTTAGTTCGCCAGCAGGCGAACTAGTCGGGATCGTCTAGTTCGCCTGCTGGCGAACTAAGCCAGCTTGGCTTAGTTCGCCAGCAGGCGAACTAGTCCGGAACCTTCTAGTTCGCCTGCTGGCGAACTAAGCCAGCTTGGCTTAGTTCGCCAGAAGGCGAACTGGTTGCGACTAGTTCGCGTTCTGCGGCGGTTTCGGTTTTTCGCGGTTTTGTAAAACGATTTCTCGAGTTTTATAAAACGATTCTCGAGTTATATAAAACGATCCTCGAGTTTTATAAAACGATATTCAAGTTTTATAAAACGATCTTCGAGTTTTATAAAACGGCTTCTCGAGTTTTATAAAACGATCTTCGAGTTTTATAAAACAGCTTCTCGAGTTTTATAAAACGATCTTCGAGTTTTATAAAACGATCTTCGAGTTTTATAAAATGGCTCCTCGAGTTTTATAAAACGTTCCTCGATTTTTATAAAACAGCTTCTCGAGTTTTATAAAACGACTTTTTGAGTTTTATAAAACGATATCTCGAGTTTTATAAAACGATCTTCGAGTTTTATAAAACAGCTTCTCGAGTTTTATAAAACGATCTTCGAGTTTTATAAAACGATCTTCGAGTTTTATAAAATGGCTCCTCGAGTTTTATAAAACGTTCCTTGAGTTTTATAGAACAGCTTCTCGAGTTTTATAAAACGACCTTTTGAGTTTTATAAAACGATATCTCGAGTTTTATAAAACGATCTTCGAGTTTTATAAAACAGCTTCTCGAGTTTTATAAAACGACCTTTTGAGTTTTATAAAACGATATCTCGAGTTTTATAAAACGATCTTCGAGTTTTATAAAACAGCTTCTCGAGTCTTATAAAACGATCTTCGAGTTTTATAGAACGGCTTCTCGAGTTTTATAAAACGGCTTCTCGAATTTTATAAAACGTTTTTCGAGTTTTATAAAACGATCTTCGAGTTTTATAAAACGATCTTCGAGTTTTATAAAACGGCTTTTCGAGTTTTATAAAACGTTCTTCCAGTTTTATAAAATAATTCTCGAGATTCATAAAACTGTCGCGTTTATGCGTCTGCGGAGAATTTTGGCTATTGATTCCGTCGTACCGATTTTGACCCCAACAGTTAGCCCCCCAGCTCGTAAGAATCATGTGGTTCTTGCGAGCGAGTCAAGCTTGTTTGGCGAGTTTGGTAGAGTTAGGCGGAACTTTAATAGCCAAAAGTCCAAGGGTGAATAGTAAGGTCTCTCCTTATAAGTGCATGGAGTAAAATT